TTATAATTAAAAAATAAAGTTGTGTTTATTTATATAAAAATCCTATGCGTTGCGTTTATGCTTTAATTAACAACTGCTAACAACTGGTCTATACGGGATCCCGTATCTGTATTAGGCCCCTTTAAACTCCTTTAGTAGCTCAGTCTTATAACCAACTCGATATTTGTCAATGTTTCGGCATTGTCCGCCTTCCTGCCACCCTAGATGTAAAGCGCCAACACTATTACCCTATGCGCCATACCCTTTTTGGTTCATCAAATTAAACCTAATAAATATATAGGCGGTAGTTATATACCAAGGAATATATTAGGGAAGAGCGTAGCTGCCGTGACTGTTAGAGACGCTCCAATTGCGAGAACGAAGTTCTCGCAATTGAAGAGACACCTGTAGTTGAGCTATTCAAACTTTCCACAGATATATACGCTGCCGTTTTGTTTTCTTGTTTTCTCTTTCTATCCACATGCACATGGGAATACTGATAAAGGATCAGCTAGACGGCTGATCGGACTAATGGCAGCACCTTATAAGTGCAAGATGCCAGAATGAAAACTCAAACTAGCTTTATAAGCATCTGCGACGGCCTAAAAGCGAGCGCTACACTAAAGATCTAATGGCGTGGCGAGAGATCGGGTATAGAAAGATCCTCCTATTGTCCTACATAGCCACAGATTTTCTAATGGTCTTTCCTTCGACAGCCGATCTAAAGCGCGAGCCCAGTCCGGCTAGGCGAATGGTAAGCGCTTTACAAGCAAGACTGCGCAATGTGCTTATAGAATTGGTCAGAACTGGGCATCTACAAGCCCAGGCTGGCGTTAGGACTTTTACAAGAGCGAGGTTAAATCTGCAGTTATTGGGCTGTTACCACTCCGGCGCCATCTGGGATACAGTTTATATACGGTTCCCCACTAAAACTACATCGTATATTACCTAACCGAAGATTGGTTACAGCACGTTTCTCCATGACGACCTCTTTCGGCACTCCCACATAACGACTAGCAGAAGCAGTCAGCGAGGTCTCTTGTCAGTCTGACCGCTGAGGAACCCTGCATCCTCGGGAGGCGTTGAGGATCAATTAGCCGGCCCATCGATAAAGTCCATTGTATCTGTAGAAATCTCTGGCTGGGACAAGGCCAGTTCATTGGAAATTCTTTTAGTTTATATTTGATTTGTTGATACCGACTCCGAGCCTCACGATCTCCGTGGTGCATTTCAATTGATGCCCTTTACAAGCAAAACGCGAGCTACCAAGGAGGAGGCCAGAAGCTGGGAGCTAAGAAACTAGAAGCGGGAAACCAGTTGCGCCGCTCAGTATACACCCAGCGTTGTATAAAAGTTGTCACCGAGAAGTGGATACGGAACAGTAGAACCTTATTACGGAAATCCTCTATTAATAAGACGATCTCCCAGGGTAGAACTACAGGTTAGAACTTAGACTTTGGATCCTTTGAATAAACCTTAACTGATCGCTTCTACATGTGGCACTGGTTCACTTCTACCGACTCCGCACCTCCGCAAGAAAACTACTTAAATAGCATCGGTTGCAGCCTCCCTGACTCAACTATGATGTGTGTTTAAGACATTACTTCACGGTGTTAAGGATATCCGGAGCTATTAATTGTAGAATCCTCCAACTTAGCGATTTCTCCTTAACGCGTTACGAATAACCATGCAGCCAGCTAAGGATGAAGGTGTAGTGGATCTTGATCCTCCGCTGCCTGGTATTAAGAGCTGTAAAGCTAGGAAACGCGCTCGAATAAATTATTATCAACTGCGCCAGCTTGGGCGAATAATACTTCACTAAGGCAATTATACCTTTTTGCCAAGCAAATGCCGGGAACTATATAACAACTATATAGTTTTGCTTTAAGATACTTCTTAGCCTTCTAACATCGATTATAATGACAGGCAAGTTAGCCAAGCCTTTCAAGCTTTTGAAAGATTTATAACCCATAATATAAATGAACTGTGGAGAGCTAGATTGTGCTTTGTACGAATGGCAACAGTAATAAATCATCTAAAAGACCTTATTAAGAAAGCCCGGGAAGCTGGTAAAGTCAGTTCCAAGATAGGAAAAGATGATAGGAGTATTGCAATCAGTATCCACTATCATGCAGTCTCGTCCTCCTTATCAAAAAAAGACGTTTATATGCGTAGAAGATTTTCCAAACGCTGGTTCGCGTATGCACAGGGTTTATTGATTCCCCTGCTCTTCGCTTCAGATAAAGCCAAAAAAATCATATAAGCATTTATAAAGGAGCACCTACCTTAAAACTGATCTTTATAATCGCAATTTCTCGGTAACCTTAGATACACTAAAATTATTGGGCGGACATATTATGCAGCTCTGCTCTAGGCAATCCTTTAAAACCGTAAGAAATTTAATGGATCTAGCACAAAAAGCTTCCGACAACCAATACAGCCTACTACGATTAGAAGCATTATTTTCCGAATTTAAGAGAATTCATTTAAGTAGGAACAGCAAAGTACAAAGATTAAGGCGTTCAATCGATTTAAGCAAGGAAATTATATACATAAACATTTAGCTACTTTTATGCATTGATATTTATAAAATAGTCTTTCCAGTTTAATGATTGTTTTTTTTTTTTTTTGCCGTCGTATATTGGGCATTTAAGAGATGAGCCCAGCGGGTCTAGTTTTTAAGGGATGATATTTGAAGGATGGTATTTAAGGGATAATATTTAAGGGATAATATTTAAGGGATAATATTTAAAGGATAATATTTCCAAAGCACATCACGGTTATCGGAATAATGTCTTTATAAATCATAGAGCCAGCTCCCCAATAATAATACACTTCTCTTATAATCTGCACTATCCACAAGCCTAAAGCGGTTCCTGGATGCCAAATATTAGAGTTAAAAATAGTTCCCCCTGTATTACACGGCCAAGAGAGCCATTATCATACTATGTCCCCCCGAATCACCTAATAATTCTAATAGCAATTTTCCCGGAAAAATAGATTTCGTTACTTATAGTTAGATGTATAAATGCAATTTTTAAGATATAGCAATTACTTATAGGGTATACGCATTTACCATTTAGGTAACAGGACTTTAAATCCTATATTTAAAGTTCGAACATTTAAAACTCCTAAGCTACGTATTACCGTACTACTATATTAAGTTCTTTAACAGCAATAGCTAAGTATATAAACAATATAAAATATAATTAAAAACAGATCTAGTTTATACTTAAACAATAAAATAATAAAATTTTCTATATTAATAGGATATATATTTAAAATATATATTTTGATTTAATAAGCTTAAAAGATAGTAATACTATAATATTATATAAATAATAATAAAATAAACGTAAAGCTAACTAATAAAACTTAAAAGAAGAAAAACTATTAATACTATTATATACGTTTATTATATCAAGTCTGTTAAGTGGTAAGTATAAGACCTAGATAAAATTATTTATTTTAAAGAATATTCTATACCTTCCCTATCTCTAATTAAGTACCTCCTTAATAGGGTTTATTGTTCTTTATCCAGGTTATAGACACCTTAAGGGGGGATGTCTTGAAAAACCTTAGCTTAAGGAGGGACCTAAAGGAATATGTTAAAAATCACGCCATTACGCTGGAAAAGATTTAAACGATTCATACCTTTGCTTGGGTCGCCTGCTAATATTGGGAAAAATGTCTTTCACGCAATTGGCGTAGTTATTGTTTCGTAGATACTTTTAAGTGCTGCGTAGTCTTCCGGTGCTCGTGATATGCTACAACTACTTCCATCTAATGTTTATTTAAGGCTAGCTGCTTTTGCTTTGCTGCCTCATTTTTATCTTGGTAACAGCTGTTAATCTTTTTTAGCTGTTCTTTGTAGGCAGCATCCAGCAGTTTTTCTTTGTGCTGCCTTAAAAAATATGACTCCCCCCATTTCACCTCGTCTGCCGTTGGAAACAAAGGGTAAGGACTATCCATTTGTGCGGGATAGACCAAAAGTTTGGGTTGATAATCAAACGTAATAGGAACAGCGATTTTAATATAAACCCAAAAAAATTCGGAGTCAAGGGGGGGAATATATAACTTAGCCCCGAATAAATATGCTAGTCAATTTGGTTAAGCTCGGTGCAATAATTTGTCAAACTCGATCAAATGAATATCCCGATAATTTGGAACCGATTAGTTACCTACCTAATCTAGTATCTTGGCGCGGATCAGTCCATAATAAGCCCCATACAGCGGTCTTAAGCTTGCCGGACGTCTGGTCACTGCCGTAGATCTATTTCAACCAAGTTACAAACCAGGTTAACAAGGCAATTATACCTGCACTTAAGTTTTCCTCGCGGTCTTCCGTAATTATCGCTTCAGGTTTCCCTCGCTTAGAGACTATAAGCTCGAAGTATTCCGATAGTGAATGTCAGTCGGTTTATTATAATTAATCCTAGTTACATAAAGCGGGTCCCTATATAGATTATATAAGCACCGGCTACTAACAGTTATTAATTAAAGTGTTGATAGGACGCGTAGGATTTCTATACAATAAACACGCCTTCATTTCTTGGTCAAACTGGACTTAACTTAACAATATCTTCATTTTCGGATGATTATCTGCCCTTGAAGGCAATTATAACTCACGGGCCTCCTTACTTCAGGCGATTAACACGTAGGCAACCCCAAAGGGTTACACCTTTATAGCTGGAAGGTTAACAAAGGAAAACAGTAGTAAATTCGCTAGCACATACTTATCCAACTCCCGAATAACTGCCTTCTTATTTTCTAAAACCTTAAGCTTACCAAATATTTAAAACGTTCCACTTAGAATCCACAGCCATTATATTTATTAGAAACACACTCTTCGGACGGAGCCAATAGCTTTCGGAAATGGACCATTCAAGGCTTCGATCTCAACAATCTTACTTATGCTCCCCTAATCCCAGCCCTAGTTTAACAGCAGCTTCCAGTCCAGCTTTAAATTCCCGCACGCTTGAGATCTCGGTAACCTTTATTCCGTTCGGATACACCGGCCCTTAGTCCTTGCACTCTGTAGGTTTAGTCGAAGCGTTGCTAGCGATAAGGTGCACCATCAACTTCGCTCGGGACGTGGACTTAGGATCGATAAAGATAGAGTAAAACTTTATTATATCGGCCTTAGTAACTTGCTTTATCTAGGCGGCGTCTAGCTTAGCTAATCGCACTATTAATCTTGATACGCTATATTGAACTATATCATGACTAAAGAAAAGGGTTGTATATACCTGCTTCAAAGTTATAAGATTTATTAATAATCTGTGCCCAATGTTTCGCAGTTTCCTCATCTAAATTATTTAGTTTCTCTAAACAGCCGGTGATTACACTCTCCTTGTAGGTTTCGAATATAGCCGCCGGTATATCTTGCAAAGCCTGACCCTGCTCCTGGAGAAATAAGTCAATCCGAGACGAAAGATACATCGGGTTACTTTCGCTCTAGATCAACAAACTGTACCCGTAGGTACTTGCAAAGACTTGGAGATCGCCGAAAACTACATAGCCAAGATTTTCCTTAGTCCGTAGCTGATCGAATACTGGCTTACGGAGGATTTGGCTAAGTAGTTACGCCCTGGCCAAGGTCACTCGATCCCCTTTCTAACCAACGTAAAGATAATACCCGATGCAATGGTTTACATTAATAGGGTCTTTTAAAGATTTCCGATAGAGGTAGTTCAATCCTGTTGGAAGCTTAAAAGACCGGGGAACGGACCACTCCTCTTCGGGTAAAACCTAAGCCTGTAGTATAGCTTCGATTATATCGGTCAACTTTAATGCGTCTTCTTTATTAACGTCGCCATAGATAAAGGCTTCAAAGTGCAGCTGTGATATAACTTGTTTATAGAAATAACGGGTATCTTCAACAGTAATAATAGGCAACTCGGTAATAAACTGTTCTTTAACGTATATATAGTCGGATATAAGCTAATCAATATAATCTTAAGCTTGCTGAAAGGGTTATCGTACCCCCCTACCTTTATAGATTCGAATCGTGCGCTCTTGAACCATTTCAAACATCGTGTCTGTGATATCAAGGTTGCACATTTCGGTAAGTACTTGTTCTAACAGAATGGCCAACTGGTTGTTCCAGCCCGATACCTCAACTTTCCAGCCCCGAGAATCTAGCCGAACGCGGTACCACATTCCAACTAGTCTCGCGTCGTACAAAGACTCTTCGAAGGCATGGTATACAAGGTCCGTACATAAAGTTGATTTGATATAATTTCCCGCGGATGCAAACATAAGCGGGTTTCTTATACTGATGATAGTGGTTGCCTTCGGAACCCAAAAGGTGTCATCCTTTTTCCACCAGGTCCGTCCGACTTGGTTATTTCGGATTAGCCTTGGTGCTAGAACCGGCCTCCCGAATTCTTTCCGCGTAACTTCGGGGTTGGAAGGGAGGAAGCGGTTTTTCGTTGGCAGATGAAGCGACGGAATTTGACCTCCTACTGGAATATTCACTACCTTTAAGAGTTCAGCCAGCAAACCTTCGGGTATCTTCTCTAATATATATTCTGTGCCATACCAATTTTCCCTTTCATTCCACTCTCCAGGAAGGCATTTTCCAGGAAACTCCTGGGACACGATCGTCATCCTCAAATTCTTGGGTTATAGAAGGACAACACCCTTGCTGATTGCCACAGGATCAAATTGTCGCAAGAGACTTTCCCCGCAAAGTAGCCACTGTCTTGGCAACGGTTTCTGCATTACGGAGCATATCATACTTGTAAAATAACTGGCTAGTAGTTTTTATTGGAATCTGAACTCAATATCCGCAATTTCTTTTAGCTCGTCGAAAATCCATTATAGTGGTTGCATTTATTAAAGCATAGATACGTATTGGAAAAAAACTTTCACAATTTCATAATAGTTTTCGAAACCCTGTTCCGTAATGTTAGCAACAAGCTACGTCTTTCTAAGTCTATTTAAAGTGAGGAGCTTGCCTTTGGAATTAGTCCAATCTCGCATCTAAAAATACCCGATGTGCCTGGGCAAACTTGGTCTACACTAGCAACAAGCAAGCTTGCCCACCCTTTTGACTTAATATAAGCTATAATGCTCCCGGGGCCTTTATGCCCGATTAAGTGAATGATGTATCGGCTCGGCCAAGTTTTGAAAAGCCACTCTTCATCCAAAAAAGGAAAGGATAATTGTAGCTGTCGAAGGCCCGCAACTAGTTTCGCAAAGCATTGCACGGCAAATTGGTCTTCGGTAAAAAGAACTTGGTCTTCCCAGCGATTCCGTAGCAGGTCTTTGTTCGGTACATTCGAGAACAGATCAACCACCAACGATTGGAGCTCATTTAGCCTTTCTCTTCCAAGAACACAGAGCTTCATCCGATTAGCAGAATAACGAGCATTATAGAAATCAATCAATTTCTGTCAAACATCAAGACCTTTAGATTCGGGTATAGTTTTAAGCACCTTAAAATTACCCGTGGGAAAATAGCAATAAGGATGCTTAGGGTTCAATTGAGATTTTTCGAGCTGATTCAAACGCTACCAATCATTTTAAAAATTTTTCATGTACTCTAAGTCAAGGATGCAGAGTTCACCGTCCAATGTTGAAGGGAAAAAAAGGGGTGCAATGAAGAACTAAGCAAACCAATCCAGCGCGCCAAATAAAGGCAACAGGTTAATCGTAGAAGGTTCCTCTCCATTGATTGGTTAGGCGGCAATTTCAAAGTAAAAGTTAGTTGAGGTGGCACCGGTGTAAGCGTTAAAGTCGCCCGAATGCGAGGCAAAATAGACATTATATACGTTCTCTTTTGGATATTTCTTAGTACCCATAAATAAAAGCTATAAAGTATTAATAAGGTTCACTAATAATTATATTAATATGAAAAAACATGCACATGTTCGATGGCGTGTGCTATGCTTGGCATATCCTTATTATCGCTGAAGTTTCCAACATTCACATCCAACGCCACACTAGCTTTATCCATCTTGGGGTTATGTACGAGTAAAACCTCTAGATAGTTTAGCAAACGGATAATGCGATATTGCCGATCATCGATTGAAGAAGTTTTAAGCTCGTCCGTCACCCGCTTAACTAGCGGAGGACCCATTATAGCATGATCTTGGACAGAGCTCATGGTCAAAAGTTACGTATAATCTAAAAGCAGTCCGGTTCCTGAAAATTTTAAAATGGGATACCTCAGGAATAATAAAATCGAAGTTAGCCCATTCATAAATTGGAATAATGAAGATGGTAACAGTGGTAATAGAGGGTGAGGGAATATAAAATAGCAAAATGCCCCCGAAAATAGTCTTATGGTCGGATATTAGTAGTGCCGGGAGTACTATCTGTTACGCCGCTGCCTAGCTACTAAGGAGCTGTTATATATATGAAGGCATCTGCAGTATGGCGCTTTATACTTCTGCAACCATTGCCAATCGGATTAAAATCCTACACATACAGTTTCTAGGGCTCGGGGTCCTAGGTTATATTCAGAGCGGGCCCGGGGTAGTTGCATAGCAAGTACCAAGGAATATGACCAAACATGCTGTCTTTAACGTTGAGCTTAGCCAAAATGTCCGCGGATATCCTAGTACTAAGCTACATGGTTTGTATAGTTCTTAGGGAACATACTGTTGAAGCAAAGACTGGTAGCCACGTAATCGGAGGGGACACAAGTTCCCTCTCCAAGTAATCAACAATATATAGCCATACAATCCTTTCTCTCATAGTAGACATATAAAGCCGAAGGCAAAGAGAATTTTGAGAGAGTCACAGTTAGTAATGCCCCTTTGCTAGTTTTACGTATATGCCTCAATAAGTGGGTGTTTTGCCAGCGCAAGCTTCGACTTCCCTCCGACCTACGTAGTATGCTCTCGCTTCTCTCGTACGATTCATGCTTGCCATCGGACTCCATGATCTGGAATGACCTAGTGAGGGGTCTCTGTATCATGTTGTATTGGGCACAATGACTGTAACAAGAGTTCAGGTCAGGGCTTCACGGCCAATCTTGTCATACCCACGACCCACCAACTAACATGATGCAGCGATAGCAAAAGTACATGGATGGTCACAGCCCGGTACAATTATCCATCACACCAAGAGCGGTGGCACGCGTATGACCGGATACGTATCCGGTAGAACAGCAGGGCCGGAAATGGCTAAGGCAAACCCCGAGTTTACTAGGACTGACCAACATGGATTTGGTACTGTTTGGTCAGATATCCCTAATTTACACATTAGTCAGATGCGCTAGAACCTCGTTCCTATTACCAGGATTGCGAAGCGCATCCAGTATTTCGGGATTCGAGAGAGAGACCTTACAACTGGTAGACCTAGTGTGCATAAATGGTGTGTCTTGAGAAAGCTCGGCGACGAATGCATGTGTCTATATTCTGCGATATGGAACAGTATGCTATGCTTACTGTCAGGTCAGATTCAAAACACTATATCAGCCTGAGTATACGGCCGTAGATGGGTCTGATCTTGGACGTATATTGTAAAGCGCCTTTCCTACCCAAGCCCAAAAAATACGACATAGCTATGCAGCCCTCAAGACCTTACGAATAGTAACGAATATTATCCGGGAAATGCTAAGTCCCGTTGGTCTTGCAGTAAGCCGAACCAGCCATTTATGACCACTTCGGATACTACCTCTGTATTTGACGGTAACCCTTAGCCCTTGGTACCTCTTAACGGTGTGTTCCTAGCACACGCTGAAACCTATAGCCCCCGCAGACGAACAGCCTTAGTCACTTCCCTAGAATTATGGTCAGGGGTTTGCCCTCAGAGATATGCTAGCCGGACTGCCTGATTCGCCGGAATACCTGAGCTGATACTAGTCTTCATGCGATTTTTGGTTACCATTATTAAATATGGGCAAGGCCGCCGCAACCAAACAAAAAAAAACATATTAGCTTTACATTTATTATATATTTTGAATTTATCTCTTGTTAATAGTGAACCATCTAGTAAACAATCTAATCTATAATTTCAAAGCTATGCTTAGAGCTAACATTTTCATTTCGCACAGGAAACTACTTGCCAAGCTAGCCTAACAAGTAGACAATTTAGTCGAAGACTATGGTAGGAAACTTATAAATAAGGTAATCAACAGCCTCTAGTAGGGCTTTGCAAACTAGTCCGCCTTTACAGTTGCCTTCAACTTTATTGCGCAGCGTCGGCGTAAAATATATTAATTACTTACAGATATATATCGCTAATGTATGTATAGAACAATAATAGAACGACCTAGAATATTTCCCTAATGATAGTCAGCTATTGTCTCGAATCGCTTAGTAACACTTGCTGTTGTAATCACCGGGGCTCGCGCGTAGTCTTCCCAAAAAACCTTTCAGGTCCGGAGACGAGGCAAAGGGACTATTTCTAGAGAAGAAACTTCCAAAAGGCCCATTTAGATCTAAATCCTGAAGGAGGTATTTCTATCCATGTCTTTGCATTCCTAGGTGTTCCAAGAATGCTGTTGCAAACAAGACAAAGTGTTAGAATACCAAGAGGATAGCTTGCCTCATCCTAGCCTCGGATAATATAGATGGTCACCATAATCCATCGATAGCAAGAGAACAAAGGCACCTTATTCACGGAACTTACACACCCAACCCTTATTAAACAGCATATTGTAAAGCCAGAAGCAGGTATTATAATAAGAGAAAAGAAAGTTAAAAGGCAGTTAAAAAGAGGACAAAAGAATACTTTTATCTCATTTATTTAAAGCATCCTTATTATCTTTTAAGCACTATTAACGGATTCTTTACCCTTAACTAGGACACCATCAACATTAAGCGTAAAACCAAACTAGATTTCGTCGGGGCTATCCAGCTTCCTCCCTGTCCAATCAGTGACGTAAAAGGTTAAGGCAGCATAAGCCTTTAGGAATAAATGAAACCAAGTAAACATAAGATAGAGTGGAATTAGGAAATAGAGAAAGAAGTCTTTAGGGTAAAGGTAAAAGTGTCCCATATTTTTAATACACTTAAAAAAGAACTGGAACGCATAAAGAAGGAGGGCGCATTTTTTGGAGTACCATTCGCATTGTGTAAAGGTGTAGACAATTGCAACATCCCAGGGAAAGGAGAGATTAAAGAGAGTTGGTATTAAAGCTAACCAGACCGTCCACGGTTGACGCCACCATACTGTACGGTCCGTCAAAAGAGAACATAGGTTAGACCGATACGTTGTTTGTGCCCAACGTAGACACTGCCCAATAAACTTGTGCTGTTGGCCAAGTGTTGTTTCAACGGTAGCTTCGTAAGTGTCTTGGATCTTGATTTCCCATCCTTCTTTTGTCACCCAACGAGTCAAAAAATTGTCATCGTCAGAATTGAGCGGTCCAAAACGACCGAAAAAGAATCGTTCGTTTAGGTATTTCGAAATGAACTTCGGGTCTTGAACAATCTTTCTTCGCACAATTAAGGCTCGTCCCGACACAACATTTACTCCTCCATTAGCGGCATTGGTGCACCGGGCCCTGAAGTCATTTTGTGTAAGATAGGTGCTGCCTAAGAAGTTCCAGTATCTCTCCCAATATTTACCCCAAGATGTTGTCGCCTTTAGTGCTTGACGGCGTACAGACTTCCTCGTCCTATATAGTCCAACGAGCGGGTTTTCGAATACAGATGTTACGTCAGTAACGAACTGTAGTTTGAAGAAGACATGGTTATCGGCCAACACTATTAACTTAGTCTTTGCAGCTTCTATTCCAACCACCAATTGCTCACGTTTGCTCGTGACTGGGCAGACTTTGACTTGAAAATTGACATTGGATCTTTTGCAAGACGGATCTTTCCCTAGATCATTGAGGACCTGAGTTTCGATGTCCTCGATGCGCTTGCGCGTGGCCTCCGAATTAGTCACAATAATGATCTTGGCGAATGAGTTCTGGAAGGAGGTTTTGATACACTTTCCTAGATCCGATAAATAAATTTCCTTGTTATAGATTGAAGGAATGATATATGTAACATCCTTAGCAAACTATGTTGGTTTTTTTGGAGGCTTGGACGGCTGATATCGTCTAAAGAAAAAAAAAAGACCAACGATCGTGGGAGAGTAACGACATATGAATAAGCCGATGAACATGATGAAGGCGGCATCTTTGGAATTATATGCAAGCGTAAGCTATGCACATATTAGTAGAATAATATTTAGATGATAGAAGAAAACTATAGCTATGGTTCGAGCGTTTTTAATGAAGCTGCGGATTGTTACAAGAAACGTATCACCGAAGTCGACCAGTGTAATGGCAGGACCCGGGTTGATATACATAGCCCATGGCTATTTTGGGGCAAGGCATATCCAAAACAACTCAAGGCACGACAACAGGACTTGACTACGTGATATGATTGCCTACTGCACGACAGGTCAACAACAGCAGGGTACATCTAATAATCCACGTATTCAGACGATCAAATATAGAGGTAAGTTATTTGTAGCCAAGGCCATACAATTGAACCGCTTGATTTAAGTCACCATCCGTAGAACCTGAAGCCATTAAAAATAGGTCTCAGGCCTCCTCACTAATAGAGCATCTGTTCTTCCGGTGATTCGCCAGAGAAAGACCAAAAAGACGATACCGAAAAAAGCGCATCGAATATATACAGGAGATACATGGAATAGGAGAAGGGGTTTTATTCCAAAGTAAAGGCACTGCTGGTCGCAGAGCTAATGGCTAACAGTCTCTTAGTACCTTTATATCGGGAATATCTCAGTAACCACCAAAAATTTTTGATAAATTAAGCCGACAGCTTTTAAAAGTAAGAGGTTGAAAGTGTAGATAGCGTCCGGATCGAAACTTAATAGGAATAAGTATAACATAAGCCCTAACAATGTCATTTAAGAGACAATAACGGGTAACGAAGTCCTAGAGAAAGAGACGTTAGCCCCTTTCTTACTTACATTTCCTTAAACACTAATATAGCATAGATTGATTGATCGATCGATTTATTGATTGATTGGTTGATTGATTGATGGTGTTTAACGTTGTAGGGACTATTCTGCGTTGCAGTTAGTCCAGGCCTCCGCAAGGGCACTAAAACGTGGCAGCTGTCCGCTACTGTTCTATGTACATAGGGGCTTCAGTGCCATTTTCTCACTTCTTAAGCGCGTTAGGTCATGACTCCGTGTCCACTCCTTTTAGGACTTCCGTGCCTTATGCGTTCGGTTCGTTCCCTTTAAATGGAACTTAGTTCGGCACACCTATGGGTTAGGTGATGGTTTTAACGGGGGGCGATGATGGACGTGACTCCCGTTAGGGGCAATGGTCTGGCTAGCCGCTGTTGAGCATCCGTAATCCGCTTAGCATTCACCTCTGAGGCTTATAATTGGGCTGGGCTACAATGGGTTGGTGGATTAGGGGGGGATTGATGTAGCATAGGAGATAGCGGAAGGCTAGTGTAGCGTTAGATAGACTTAGGCATACTATATCGTATTTAAGGTAGCGCCGGTACAAGACCTTCGCGGGAAAACTCTAAGCGCTGCGAATGCAGGCGCGGCAACTGTGAAATTTGCAATATCGACATTCGAAAATCCACCAGTGAGGACCCGAGTAGCACAGGTTGCAAGTCCATTGAACCAAAGTGCTATCCGACTTAATCATCTTGAACGCGTGCGCGCAGTTCGTTGAGACGGCCATAATAAATGCACACAAGTTCGTAGTTCCTATAAGAAAAAGCACCACGTAAAGTGTGGACAACAGCTTCGAGAGTAAAGATGGTCAAAGGTTCAAGTGAATTGATCGAACTTGAAGATTTTCTGTAGGCTTATAATCGTAGCGTTGGTGACATAAATGAGTCGAAACAGCTACTACGCATTAGTGGTCTTTTCGACCTACATGTACATATATACATCTACATGTTGACTTGGATAGCGGCGCAACTGATACACCTGGCTAGGCAATACGTGAATGGAGGGAATAGAAGGATTGAATAATGAACAAGGCAGATGATCCTACCTTGTCGCTCTCCTTCCACTGGAGCTCGTTGATCGCTAGGAGACGCTTCGCCAAATTGGACCTTTGAATAGTAGCTGCGAGTCTAGACGGTAACTCTTATCATGAAATCCTCTAACATAGGTCTAGAACGTTCACCGCGGACGAGGGGGGTCTGGACATTTCGTTGATGGAGTAATATATACAGATTTAAAAAGATATAAACATTATTATAGCTTTTAACAAGAACCACTTCGGAAATAGCCGCGAAGACATCGGAATAAATAATATGAACGCATCTTTCTAAGATAGTCTTAAATAAATGCCTTAACGGGGGATGTGTGGTGTCTATGGCTTTCGGGGCATGGGTAAAAGAGTAAGAGATAAAGCAGAGTCTTAAATATATCGAATAGTATAAAACGGATTAAATAGGAAAAAGGAGTAGAAGATAACTACTAAACACGAAGTGGGATGGGTGGCGGATCGTTAATGGGCAACCCCGGTAAGGAAGTCTTCATTCTTATATCGGAATTCGAATGCCAAACTCATATGCTCCGATTTGCTCACTAATCCTGCTTTCTCGACCGTTCATCCACCTCTTGAAGCAGCTTTTCAAACCCATCTTTCACCCGCTGGGGTGTTTCCAATAGCCACCCATGTTGGCCTGCAAGATCTCTTACTTCATCGTCAATAATTTCGGTCGTTGTACTTGCAGACCGATACACCACCAGGAGTCCAGGCTGAGCTGCCATTGATTTCGCTAAATTCTGAAGGTATACAAGAGAAGGCCGATGACATAGGTCAACAGCTAAGACAAACGCGGTAGCATTTTTAGCAATAGACTCCTGAACAGTATACCTGTATTTTTCATCCTTTATAAATAGCGGGCTCATATTGAAGAGATAGGTATCGTTCCGTGTTGGGTACACGTACGGACCTAATGTACTTATTCCCCAAGTAGTCGGTCCCCAGCCAATTATTTCCTGAAGTGATTTTGATCTCATCTTAGTATCGCCCATAAACACGATATTGTGTTGAACCGAATCCGGTGGTTCTTGTAGCTCAGAGTAGGGATCGGAAGCTTGCACGGGCCTAGGCTTAAGGGAAAGGGGTCGTCGAAGCCAACTCTTTGCTCCTAGGTAGATAATAGCAGAGGAGCAAGAAAACTACAGCGGTTAGTTATGAAGCTCAGGAAATAGGAAGTACATACAACAACAAATGCCACGTTTGTCCAAAACATAAGCACCACGCCGAAAAGCTCAGCACAGCTTGTTCCCAAGCGGAGCCAGTCTCTTCGCCGCAAAACAGTCCACACAGTATGGTATAGGATTAAACCGACAGTAAGGTATTGCGCAACGGCGTGCTTAGGAATCGCTGGACCGATGATGACAAAGACCGCCTCTATTGACGCCATCGCAAGCAAAAAGCCACGATGTTGGAGCAGTTTAAATTGACGAGGCAGTTGTAGCTGCAGCGGTTGTGGAATGGTCAGACATGGTAGTGTTGGTAATGAGTCGCTTGGTGCTATCACAGAGATAGACTTGCTGAATTAGCCCAATCTCTCAACGATTCGCAGACAGTCTTACATCGAAGAGAAATGCTCCTCCTATGGACCATCTCCAACACCAGGTAGCCCAGTCATATAGGTCGACCAGTGTAAGAACGAAAAGGGTTGTCTCAAAGGCAACGTAAACAAAGAGAGCGATGAGAACTAATACAAAGACATATGATTCGGCTGTGTAGCCACAGAGTTTTATTGGGGAATAGGCGGGAACACGGTAATGATGGTATGCGAACCACAAATTAGCAGCCACAACTAGCAGTGTGAATGGGAATGCCACGTAGGCTGCAATTTCCGAGTCCTGCATGTTCGATATATCTCAGTGCGATATAAGTCGAAGTAAGGCAACCTGGGGTGCAGTAGTAGCAAGACAAAGTCCAAAAAGCACCCCGATGGATTATTGTTACCTTTTTATGAAGTCTCCTCCTTGTGTTATCGAGCCATGCATGAACTTTCCTTAGGCGGATTTCAACCTTAGGAGAGAAGCTGAAGGTAGAATTTGGAACGAAACCCGGGGAAAGAGCCATGTGGGGGTGACTAGTGCCACCCATACACGCATAGTTCGCGAAAGGGAAATAAGTGGCTGCTTGTCTATCATATCCAAATAGAAGCGAACGGCGTTCGATATAAAACGTACCAATGGCTGGTAGGTCTATTAAAAATCCTAGGGTAGGAGATACGACTTTAGGAGCCAACGGATACATTAGCGTTAGCGGCCTATAACCGTAAAAAATCTACGGTTATGAACTGCAGCCTTCCCTTTTGGAGGCAAAGCATACCTATGCCTAGTACATCCTTAAGATTAGATATCTTTATGTTATCAGAAGCTAATTGCTTTAAAGCAAGTCCGGACCGTTGAACTAGATGCCGAGAACATGGTCGTGTATTTCGCCGTGTCTTCTAAGCCTTATTGGGAGCTGATTACAATTTACGTGAAGCCCCTAAAAATATCCCAGGTGGAGGAGGGATAATTCCAATTGTGCTCTTCGACGGCGTTGCCATACTATAAAAAAGCACGTACAAAAAGCAATCATATATCCAAAGCTTCTATAACGGACATTTTATAAAAGGGTATTGGCTTAATAGCGGGTATGTGCCCTTGTTCAACCTTCAAGTCGTAGAGCTAAGCAAGAAAGTTGGAGCCTGCGAGCGAGGCTGGTAGGAGATATAAAGAGCAACTAGACACAACCATCGCTGCCCTCTTAAGGCCTAGAAAGACATCCATAGAAGATAGACGCGCAGGTCAAAGCACGGTCAACAATCTGAGACTTTCGCCGGGACAGATGACCACGATTGAAGATGCGAGACAGGATACTCAAGGGTCAGTAACCGTGAGGAAATTAAAAAAGAATGATGGATGAGCCGTTATCTAGGCGGCCAAGTAGACTCTGGACACCTATACGAGGAGATCGATACTAAAATAGGAATTGCGCCGCGCCAGAGGCTTCGATTACCCTCACCTCCCAGTTCATGTCTAGTTACGTTGTTTCTATAAGTTACATTCGTTCCACCCTAACTATGAGATAACGACGACGTGTCCATGCTTATGCAACTTAGCTGTCCGAAAATTTAGGCCACACCTTGCTAGTCAGCCCTCTTGCCGACTGTGGTCTCTAATCGGGTAGATTAATTGAAGGAAATCACTACGTTGGGCCATGGCGAGCCACGTGAAAAGCGGTGAACCTTTGCTTTCGTGCCTTCCGGATTCATCCCTGCAAAGCCTAGATGTGAGTTATCCCAGCCGTTCTATCCGACGAGTCTATGCCATTCGAGTATCGATTCAAGCCCAGCAGTCGTCTTTGTTCACTAGTCCCAATGGCCACTCCCGGCTATGTGACCCTGGCCTGTCCAACAGGTGCGATGAGCTAGTCATTCTCTAAATGTCAATTGTCGTATTCTCAGCCCGAGTCGACGGCCTAGACACAAACCGCATAGATTTAGCTGCCAAGTTGTTTAGAGGCCTGCACAACCATCACGTCAGTCTTTCTACTGACCTAACAAGGGTGAAGCAACTCCGCCTTATTTCTAGTGGCTCCTAATCCTAAAGACGAATTCTAAAGCTCAAATAATGTTCTCGCTAATGATCCGAGCCAATAAGGCAGGTGACTAGTGTTTCCCTCATATCACAACCGCAGCCAAACAAGTTAAGTCCCGTTTCTCAATATATTTTTTTTCAGTGTTAGTAAAAGTTGTTCTTCCAATCCTTACAATGGAACGTATATGCTAGCTTTCACGGTACCCTGGGGTGTCTAAATTTGGCTGTGAACTTAATATATTCCACTTCACGAGCCAGAGCTTGCGGGCTTCATTGGTTAGCTCGGATGCATATTCTATGTGGGCCCTGATGCATGGGCTAAACCTAAAGTGAGATTCGAGAGGAGCATGCTCCCTTCGATGTTCAGTTCAGGTTTAGTGCAAACATCTAACAAGTATAATGCGGTACCTGGTAGCAGGCACGGTAGGAGTGGGTATATACCCTGCTCAATTGTTTCCCCTTATCAATTAGGAATCTTCTACTCAACAACATACTCCCCAAGTATCATTGCTACTATACCCCTCCATTCTGCAACTTAAGGCACAGTCGCTACGATGTAACGCGCAAAGTCACCCATACGCCTCCCTTACACTAGTAGTTAGCAGTAGATGGTTTTTTTTTTTTTTTGTTTTTTTTTTTTTTTAATAGTTTGAGCAGTACTGGGGGAGCGTATTAGGCGATTCTACGCATCGAGGTCACAGTAGTAGCGCATCGTAGAACCCCCCGATATGTACTGATACCACCATACCGAGTGCCCTAAAGTGTGCTGTAGAATTTAGAACTTCAACCTCATCACCCAACAACACAATGGGTGCTCAGGTTAGCGCATATGTTAGATTACAACTGAATTCTTCAACCTTGGAAGACCTGCTCTCCGATGACAAGGTATTTATACTCAAATAACAGAAAGCTAGAACTAACGGTTCGTAGTTTGTTGGAGACCTTGAACAGGAACTCGTTGGGTTGGAGAGCAAGTCACAGAAGAACCTTGAGAAACTCCTCAAATGTTGCCGATCCCCAAATTCATCCGCAAAGAAAGACCCGAACGATATGTCGACCAAACTTCGGCCGTTATGGGAAATACGGCCGGAAGACGTCGCCATCCCCTCAGAAATTGCAAACGCCTTTAAGGAATGGAAGTTAGACCATTTGGCCTTCCTCCGGCGTAAATTTTCCTTGGGACTCCAAGTTCCTTCGTCTCCTGACGAGCACTACTGTTACACTCTCAATGTACAAGCTTCCCTTGCCTCTGACAGAATATTGAGGAGATTTCTGACAACCGTTTACTACGACCTTATTTCGAAGCATTCCCAGTCTGATCGGAATTCTATAACTAAAGTGGGAGTTGAATTCGTTGCCGCAGTCATTTGCAGAGCAGGATCATACAATAACGAGACCGTACAGAAGTATGTGAGCAGCTGGGCGAAAGAGGGAGGAAAGTTCCATGGCCTAGCTGATGCAATGGACGGTCTTGGGTGCTACTTCTTCCTCCCGGTAAAAGTCAGTGACTGGATGTAAGTATGCCATTTATCTTCGCTTTAAATTTTATTAAAATTCTATAGCTGGTTGAAATATTTGACTCAAGAACATCACGAAAGTGCAATCACCTTACTTCGAAAACATGGCATCATAGAAAAGGCCAGGGAACAAGGCGCACAGAGCCTTGCGACAAAAATCGAAAGGAGTTTGCGAGCACCATTTGAGGAAGCCATTTCACTGACGTTGCAAGTGCGCCAACAGATTGTACCGGTAACGGCAATGGCCCTTGCACAAGGAGTAGACACCCTACCAGGCCGCTCACAAATCTCAACGAACCATTCGCAACCACCAGCGGATCCGTTGCAACCATTGACCTCCTCACCATCTCCAGGTGGTCATTTGCAGACCCCAGGAACCTGTCCACCGGCGTCCCCTTTGTATTCTTCGGCGGTCCATGCTTCACCCTCTCTAGAGATCTCTCCCCGACCCTCAGAGGTGGGACACTGGAGTGGAAACACCAACATGCATAGACCTAAACAGCTAATGCTTGGTTATAATCAAGCAAAACCGAACAATTTACGGAATAACGCGGAAGAGATTAAGGTTATGGATATAAACAACACGCCATTAAGCAGAGCGCTTAATAGTTTCAGCGGATCGAACTCAAACGCTATACCAAGGCTAGCCGCGAATAGTTTAATCAAAATGCAATAGCCTCCTGCATTCCGTATACCATATCTCGAAAACCTCAAGTATAAGCTCTTTAATTTTTGTAAGTGGATAGATAATCTTACGCTTACCCAGGGCTAATACGTTCCCAGACGTGAACTACATTTGCGTTGGTCGAACAGTTCTCAGAGATAATGCATATCTAAACGAGTTCCTGCCAATTCTGCACGACAATGGGCGTACAATTAACCCAGTGCTTGCTCTTTCCGCCTCCTACCGAAAGGAATATTTTGTTAAGGGAAGTATCATCAGGAAGCAGATTAAATACGCCGAGTATCGCTATAGTATGGAAACTGCAAAGGAAGTCCGAAAAGCAATTATAAGAGGAGACGTGGGCGCTCCTACGGCTGTTGCTGCAGCGCTTTTCAGTTACCATGCAACCCTCAATCCATCGTTGCACCCTTACTGTTGGACGAAGTACCTTTATCCAATGCTAGACCTAGCTGGAGCAGAGGTCGAAGCGAATTTGGCAATGGCAAGCGTTGCCATATTAGCAATGACGGCTCTCCCTTCAAACAGGAAGCGTAATTTCCAACACATTGACTACAATTGGATAGGACATGGTAAAGCAAAGCAGCTAACTAAAGTGAATAGTACTTTAGGACTATTACGGATGATGCTTTACTTCATCTATTCGATCATACAAGAAGCAAAGGTATATACTCCAAAGCCAAAAGGCACATTAACTGATATATCAAGGATCCTAACAAATGGAATGCCGAACGTCTTCTACGAGAAATTGAAGAATCCCCCTAATGGGTGGACGAAACAGAAGATAATATAGCAAGATATATTGCATTAGGAACCGCAGAAACGTATAGATTTGGAACAAAGTTATATTGCCTTGCTCGGCTTTACAGGTATAGCTCTATTTTCGTTTCCCGGCTCTTCACCTAATAGTTTGAAGTTATACCCCAAAGCATCCTGCCGTTAAGGAAATCTGCGATTCGCTTCTCGATTGGCTTTACAAACTACCGACGGAAGGGCGATAGTACAGCAGCATCCATCCAGCTTAGTGTTTTGCGATTGGGTGTATCTACGCGCAAACAAATGAGGATTATAATACACTCGTCAAATACTTGGATCGCATTATAGAAGACAATAAGTCCGTAAGTTTTTCACTCAAACAATGGTATATAAATGCTGCTGACACATCTGAGAATGTCGACGATGTTTGTTCTCTCGTTAGACGGACACGGCATTAGCAGCGTCAAGAATGGGAGAATCAAGATGTACAGGATCTGGACCCTAGGTGGTAGGAAAGGATGGTAGACAATATCGATGGAAAGTTTGTAATTTGCTTAGCCTGATTTTGTAGAGCTCACATTCAACTTGAACCTTTCGGCAATACCTCTCTATAGACAGATATCTTTTCCTCAGATCTATCCCAAGCCCATCTTTTCGACACTCCACGTCGCGTGCCCCGGAGGTAATCAACTATGATATCTCCAATCACTAGCAAGAACTTGAACGAGTGATACGAACCACCTACTACGAGGTGCAGCCCTTGAGCTCCTGGTACCTTATCCACAAGAAGATGTTGGTAAGGTGTCATAAGTTCACTTTATAGACGTAAGTATTACAGTATGACTACAGGGCATTATTACTCACGGGCATATAGAATAACTTAATGGCCTTCCTTTCATCTCCGGCATCATCTTCTCTAACAAAGCGCGATTTATTTTGATTCTCTCTGTGTAAAGTTTTAATTTAAGCTCATCAGGGTAAGCAATCGCAATAGAGTCTGTGCTAGTGATCTGAAGTTTTTTTTGCTGATCAGCTGAGGGCATCACTTCTCCTACGGCACGTTAGCATTGCAATCCAATTAATGGATTTAACATACCCTGATCAGTGACCAAAATCGGCATTGACTTGAATTTGGCATATTCATCTTCGGTAAGTGAGAGTGTCGCGACGCCGATGGCGGTGACACTGAAGAAACCATTCTGGAAATCATGCGGTAGTTGAACATTCGAGCTTTTCAGGAGTGCTGGAGTCCAGGGGCCTGTAGCTACAATCGTCGTTTCCGCCACGATGCTTCTTCCGTCGATGCACTCAACTCCGTGACAGACACCATTCTCAATAAGAAGCTTGGAGATATCCGTTTTTTGGCGCATCACCCCTCGGGCCGCGGCTTCTACAGCTACTGCTTCCAAGACAAGGGCCGAGTCGGCCAGTCCAATATCTTCGTTGAGCCACAATTTCTCCGCAATGTCCAACTGGGGCGGATCCCGAGAGCGAACTATATGTAATAAATCCTCCGCCTTAATTGATCGCTCTCCTGGGTGGAAAGGTACGTAGTTGTCTCCACGAACCACTTGAACCCACCCGGTCCAACGGTAAAAGTTACGGTAAGGAAGCTCAGTCTTCCATTTTTTCTTCGCCTCTTCAGCTAATAAGACATATTCATTGTCCATATAAAGGGTACGGATGATCTTGCAAATGCCTTTCGATGCTATTGCCGTTTCCGAGCCCTCAAAAATAATGACTTTTGCGTTCGGCGACTCTCGTTGCAACGCAAGAGCGGCTAAGAAGGCCATACAACCGCCACCAACGATGACGTAGTCAAAATGATTTTGCTGCTCGAATTTCGTTAACATATTTCGGGATTTCCTATCTGGAAGCTTGTTCGAACGTCGTACGGTACATTTCTGGTGAAAGAAGAGGGGTAGCGAGAGGCGGGGTTTCAACATATTGTATCGCGCTTTAATAATTTGGCCACTATTGGGATACCCCGCATCTCCACTCTTGCCTAACCTTATTTGGAAATATCATTTGCTAGAATCAAGCGATTCCTTTAATTGGTTATATATTATATTGCTCTATGTTCCGCACTATTTTCTCCATTTACCTGCTCTATACAAAGTCCGTACTAATATATAATCCACACAATAAAACCAGGTTATTCTGAACTTTACCTTTATATAGAGACATCCATTAATAAGGTTGAATTCGAAGTACTAAGCTATGGATAATTAGTTATCCCTTATATACGAAAGCTTATCATGTTATCCTTGGGTTACTATCGGCCTCCTATACTTTTGGTCTTGGGTCCGACCTTAGTAATGCGGCTGTAATACGTGGAGACCCATAGTATTGTAAATCCCAACCGACGCCGCCCGGATAAACAATATCCAAGCCATCAATTAATCTGCCCCCTTTCCAGTTTTCGATTCTTGGCGAGCATGTGAAGCTAAAGCCAATAAGGTGAAAAAATCGCAATAGAGCTTTGACCGACGCCAGCTCGTTATCATCTTCTGAAATATATTTATAGATAATAGCATGGTAGACGTTTCCAGGTGATATACTATGCGGAGGCTTGTCCCGTTTGCGGGGCTGCGGCTTTATTTGATATGGTATACGTTTGATAAGATCGCCATCGAAATCAAGCCACCCATAACACCTCCGTATGGGCGGGGAGTATGACAAGACGGCACGAAGGCTTTCCACTGCTTGTCGCTGCTGGGCCTCCTCCCGGGGCATAGAAAATGCAAGCATATTAGCTATTGCTTAAGCCTGGGTCTCCGGATGTTCGTGGCGTAGAGGCACCGGTCTCTCTTCTAAGACCGCCTCAATCATTTGGAAAATGGCAGCATTTTAACATTCTCGTTGGGGAGCGAAGTAGCCGTTACAAATTTAAGGCAGCTACATATCCTAAAACTAAAGGAATATTAATAGATCGAAAGAATAGAAGAAAGGAAAACTTACAACTTTTAGAACAAAAGTGCCTTCATTCCCAAATTCAACCTTCCAAACACATCCATCATATCCATCACCCAGTTTAGTAGCTGATTTCCACTTGATAGTGTCCAAAAGAAATGGGCATTTCCGCAGTCGTAGTTGCTCGAAATCCTCGGCTCTATGATTTGGTGGGCCTTGCATCAACTCGTTGCTGCGGAATTCCACGTGCAGCGCTTACTACTAAGCTACATTTTGCCGATAGAGATTATTAGGGCCCAACTTTCGACGTGTGGTATGGTGAGAAAGGGATTGCCTTCGATGCTTACGAAGCGGTTCAGTATTTTTTATGGTGCGAGTGAGCAAACAGGTAGGAAAGAAAAATGCTTGGGGCAGAGTAGGGTTTCAAATGGACCCATGGGCTTTCAAAACCTTACTAGTGGGCTTTAGGCTCTTGGCAGCCCAAGGCCCATCAACCCACAATAGGTAGGTTAGGGGCCCCATAGGCTTTATTAGTCTTGTAGGCCCTTGACAATGGGCTGGGCCTTTAGACCCTAGGCAGAAGTGGTTCAAATCGCGCCTTGTAGATGATATGTCTGGCGTGCAAAGGATCTACAATGCAATCCTGTTGTATTAGCGTTGAAGTGTACGAAGAGAGGTAGTTTGTTCCATCTAAGCATCAACATCCACTACGCTATGCAACATCACCAGAAACAAATGCATATTGTAAAATAGCCTAGGGCAGGGATATATATTAAGGTTGCAATATGTAGGATATCCCAACTTCAATATGTAACGATGCACTTCTCCAGAATTACCACTACCTACTCGTCGACCGGAAAGGCAACCCAACCCAACCGTAGATATAGGCTAGGATAAATCACGCAGGTGTGGCGAATCGGAATTAGCATGCAAACAAACAAGATAAAACCAAAAGCGGCTTGCCTCTAGGAAGAAATAGAACAGCATAATAAATTAATCGTATTTTCCATAGGAGGTTTACAATCTATCAGTCTCCTATCTTAAGCCACACAGATTTATAACCGTATCTATCCAAGATGCCGACCCTCCTTGAAGTCCTCACTCGACGCAATCTAGAGGTCAACAGATTCCATCTCAAATCCGGCGGAAACACAACGATGAACACAAACATATCCCCACAATCTTGGTACCCATGGCCTGAATTCAACTATGCCAACCTGACAAAGGTCTTCTCTAGACAGCTGAGGTCACGCTATGTAGGCCCCGAAAGGTTGGAGCAGCCTTTGCCGCAAGACCAGGTCCTGTTCCATGAAGACACCTTGGAAGATTTCCTGCGACGGTTCATAGTCCCTGCCGTGAACTACTGCCTAGACCAATCAGAAGGCCAGCCGCATTTTGGGCGAGGGAGTCGGTGTGGTGGCAACGAGGACTGGTCCGTGGTATCACCTATATGGTTTAGTCCGCCGGGAGATTTTGCTAATCGTCTGCCCGGGGATACCAAGGTTTCAAGCAAGTAGTGGCCTGCAATGAAGGACGATAATTCTCGGGCTCTTGAATAGCAGAAGGTTGTGGCCCAAGTCCTCACTTATATGGCGGACAATAATTCGAGATACGGGTTTATTATCACAGATGAAGTCCTTGTCGTGCTAAGGCTTACTTATAAGCGTACGGGACAAGGTATAGCCGCTGATCGTCCTCGACGGCAGGTTGCTACACCTACTACCGGGCATCAGAGACAGGTCTCCGACATCTCCATGGCGTCTGGTAACACGTCGGGCCAGGAATCGTCGTTTCAAGATGATAACCCTCTGGATTGGGAGTACTACGACCCAGAATACGTCGATATTCCATGGTCCGCACATGGGAAACGTCTTACCGTCAAACTTGCTCTCTGGTGCTTAGCTATGATGGCGACAAATGGAGATAATTATATAGACTACTCGTACCCAACGTTGGACGGCTGGTTTATTCACAATATATCAGGGACTACTAAAAAGACCCTGACGGCCGGAGATTAGTATGTAGAACCCGGTATACATAGGCTTGGAAGAGAGGAGGAAGCGGGGGATAACATTGCCTATGTCTCCGAGGGTGTGGCAGGAATTAATGTTGTCGGCGAGTCTGGCCCGATATCCAGCCTGGCGGGCAGCGTCCCCGGCGACAAAGGTAAACAGAGAGCCAGCGACAAAAGCGATCACGACGATAACGATAGCAACGATAACAGTAGCGACGATAACGATAGCGACGATGACGATAACAATAACAGAGATAGGGATGATGGTAAAGATGGTAATAACGATGGAGATGGGGATAATAACCAAACTGAAGTTGGAGCCTCCCAGAAGCACGTACAGACTACAATCAAAAGGCATAGATATAGTAAGAGACTACGGTATCAGGATTATAAGGGAAATTAGCATGAAACACACAAAAGGGACTAGGAAAAGGTTGAAGGTGGATATAGGTACCTTGGCAGGAAGCATGTTTATTTTATTACCAGCCTCCCTAAATAACTTGGGCCCCATATAGGACCTGCTGTCTAGGATCAAATCTCCTGTACCAATGCGGCTACCTACGTCGGGTCATCTCGCCATTTGGCGTGTAGTAGTAGCACCGTTCTAACAGCTATAAGCGTAGGAACTGTAAACAGTGCCAACCTCCAACGGGGTGGGGGTTCCGACCGTTAGCTGAAAAGAGTAGACGTTGTTAGTGCATCCTCTTTGTTATCGCGCTTCAATAATCTAGTCACTCCACCAGTTGGATTATAGCTCATTATCATCTAACAAATATAATAATAAACCGCGGAAACCACTTGTTACCATTGTGGTAATCTAATCTTGCTTAATGTCCTCTTCGTTTATAGCGTCTAAAAGTACAGAGCCGCGCACTATATCGGTCAGCTGTACTAAGGCTCTATTTACTAGCGAATGTCGAAATTATTGTCGTTTCCTCTACGCACTACTTACGAAAACATCTGAAATTTTACCGGTGCAGGTCCACCCCTGCGGCCTCATCGGGGGGGACTTCCCCTACATGGTTGACTATTCGTTTCTATATTTGGTACATACCCCCTGCCTTTTCAAGCCAACGAGTGCACTAGCCCTTAAGTATTACCATATCTTTTGACTTTGTTCCATAGGCGCCGAAGAGAACCTCTCGAGGTACCGTAGATTTCCTTTCCTTACCTACCCTTCCCGTTTCTATATAAATGCTTAATAGGGATTGTACCTAAAGGCAAAGTATTAAGCCACGTTTCTATAGCCCACCTATACAGGCCCAGCCCCTACATAGTTTGATTTACATCTACAACAACATCAAAGTAAACAACTTAAGGTAGGTAAATAATACTAAAAAAAAAAGTGCTATATATTCTAGTGCGTAATATACCACTTAAACTGAAAAGCATATATATTATATATAGAAGCCCTAGATAGAGTCACCTTTTTTTTTTACTAGGGGCGCCACGTCTTACCGGGACTTATCTGACTTGGAGTGAACTATCCCGAATTCCCGAAGTTCCCCAGGTCCGCAAGATCTACTCCACCATACCTGCCACCAGAATCAAAAATATTAGACCAGGTAATTGGTCGCTGCGCCTACTAAACCAACTACGTCAAAACAGACAGAGGGAAGACCCTCGTCAATATCTAAGCCATACCAGATTTGACCCGGTAAAATTAAACGATTGTAGAATATATTATAGATATCTTGCAGCTTACATCGGTATATCCCTGCATTTTTGGAGGCCGGAGCTATATTACCCCTTACAATGGATTCCTTTAGTAGGCTAAATCTTCTACTCTACAACATCAATACTACCAATTCCAGATTCTTTGTTTACCCCACCTGACACCTTACCCCACCCTATTACATATACCAACATCCTTGTTGCAGGTTGGGCGGCTAAGGGTTGGCTGATAGCTTCCCAGTCATCCATCTGACAACGCGTTCATGCGCCAATCATCCAAGACCCTCGACCCGACCCGACCCAAATGTCCCTCGAGTCTTCTTTCTTTCCCTCTTTCTTTTGCGCGATGGTCGCTCATGGCGAAATCATACTACCGAAAGACACGGTACCCAGACGAGGCCTTGCAAGACGATCGTCCGGCAAAGAGTCGAAAGAGACGTGCAGACGAAGACGAGCCCTCGCGAAACGACCACATTGTGAACAGACCTCCAACGAAGAGTCGAAAGAGACACTGCGACGACGAGCCCTCGCGAAATCACTCTCCGGCAAACCAACCACGCATCGGCAAGATTTCGCAGGACGACCCTCGGGACGATCCCTCGGCGAAGAGGATCAAGCCGGCCGTCGAACATCACGACCCTTGGGTCTATCCACCCGAGTTCTGGGATAGACTGTCCAAGATCCCGCTGATCCACGAAGCTGTGGCCGAGCTTGACCGGCGGACCAGCGCTCCCCGGCCTCCGCCTCCGTCTCTGCCTTCGACGGGCCCCATCCAAGACCTCGCACTCCCCCCCGCCAAAGAACTCGCTCGATTTGCGAGACACGGCGGTCCAAGTCTAGGCGATCTTCGAGGGTATCCCGTGATAAAGAATAGTGACCTACCCGCCGATGCTATGAGTTCCTCTTCGCATAGCGGAAACACCAAGTCTACCGGCCCAGCTAGCTCGAGAGCGACTAAGATCACCGATCCAACAACTAAGACTAAGACGTCGATATCGCCATACAACCGCGCTTTTGAACAACATCTAACCGACTACCAGATCCACCCGACTTGGAAATCGTCAGAGCCGAACTTAGATGGTATAAGGCCAGCACTAGCTGTTCCAAGAGGATCGCTTTCACCATCTCGATTCTCCGATGGCGCATTTAAAACTTTCCAGAGGGACAATGCACAGGCTAAGGACGAGGAAGACGTGAGGGCATATGTGGTCCCAACTATTCTTGGCCCAAGGCAAATCGATCACCCGTCCGCCATGAGTACACTATTCGGGAATCTCGACCCACTCACCGACGGCACTCTAGCACCAGCTAAACCAGACGTCTACTACGGTGCAAATCCCGAACAGCTCAACCGACCTATCCGCGACAAACTCAGGGGTTACATCATCCCGTCGACCATGGAGGACAAGCCTATGGCGCCAAATTTCTTCCTGGAAGTTAAAGGCCCAGATGGTAGCGCAGCTGTGGCAACGCGGCAAGCTCGCTATGATGGAGCGCTCGGAGCTCGCGCCATACATAGCCTGCAGAACTATGGCAGCGATAAGCCAGTCCTCGACGGGAATGCCTATACGTTCAGCTCAACCTATCATGATGGGATGCTCAAGCTGTACGCTCACCACCCTACAGCGCCGGCCACTCCCGGTGAGAGGCCCGAGTACCACATGACTCAACTAGAAGCGTATGCTATGACCGGTAGCCGAAAGACTTTCGTCGAAGGAGCTACTGCGTTTAGGAATGCTAGAGACCTGGCGGATCGTTATCGCCAAAAGTTCATCGCGGCGGCAAATGCAAAAACTAAGCGGTCTCGCGAAGAACTAGTTGATACAACGGTGCAACAAGATGATGGCTCAAGCACGGAAGAGTATGAGGACTGTGAAGAGTACCCTATTCAATCATCCCAGGACATCAATCAGGCATCTGCTCTTCCTCATTATCTGGAAGACGACCAAGACGAAAGTCAATCGTCTGTACCAGATGAAGTTAAAACTCCAGCGGCGAGCTTTACGACAAGCTTTACATCGAGCTTCAATTCAGGCAACGACACCTACCGTCATAGAACCCATTCCAAGCGCATAGGGCTTCTCCGAATCTACCGCCCTCCCATCCGAAAAAACATCATCACAAGAGCAGGAGCAAGAACAGCCAGGCAGCTAGCTCGGGAAAGGGCAAGGCTAGCGGGGCGACGAATTAGACAAGATTTGGAATCGAAATGGTATGAGGTGGGAATATTGGGACGAAGATAACTAGGCTAGGAAGTACTGAAATAGCAAGGCATAGGTAACTTGAATTGTAAGCATAATGTTATAGTGTTTAGGATTTATAATAATGAAGATGTTAAGTTACTATTCCGGCTTTTTGTTACTTTTGCCGAAGGTATAATAAAGATATTTGATTGGATAAAGAAAATTGAGCCAGGAAATATTAGGAAAAGGCATAGGCGATGAGTTACTTATAGTTTTTGCAGTCGCCTCTATCAGCTATAGAGTCGCAAGACCAACCGTTAAGGATTCCAGCAATAAGGATAAAACAGGGTGCAAGAGAAGGTGGTAGGCGTAGCACGTTAAATGGTTGGCGTGGCCAGCATGTGTTAACACTTAACCTTAAGCCCAGAGACCTTTGCACTAGACATTAAGATATCCTTACCCTCCTCCTAGGAAACCTTTAAACCTAGGGATAATATCTTAGGGACGACTATAATGCTTAATTAAGCTAACACTAACTTGGCTATTCTTCGCGATTAGATATGCGACTTAAAGCAGTATATGCAAATCTAACTGAACTTATATTTCCCCCTATTCTTGGTTTCCTATTTAACACAAGCCAGATTAACGAAAGACCCTGTGGCGGATGACCTATTTTTGTAAGCGACGTTTGAGCACTTCGTTGTGAATAATACAGCTTGCAAGAAGTGTCTGCTCTTGTTAGATAATTGCCTAAGGCGAATAGAGAGAGGACATACGGTGCAGGAGATGGCGTTTCTAGTGCTTCGGATTGAGATAGGTTTTGTGACAATGAGCACGAAGTAAGCTGCCGTTGACGCCGCGCTGCGGAATTTAATGGCTGTTACTAGAGACAGCTCCCGCAGTTGGTGCAGTGACGTCTTGGCCACCTTGCTATACTATAACCCCGGCTTGGCTGACTATTAACCTAAGGTTGTATGAAAGCTCTTCTAATAAATGGCGAATTTAGCCTTGGCTGCTGCGCAATGCTATTAGCTAGCATCGCCGGCCCGCTAGATAGGGAGTGAGACTTGAACTTAGTGTTCGCTGTCGCCGTCCACTGCACGCTTCGGTTAGTTCGGAGGGACCCAAGAACGCAGACTGAGAGCCGCAACATGCGGCCTCAAGCAGTTTCTGCACCGTGGCACAAAGTCCCTTTAGAGATGCGAAATACGGCGGGCGTGCGGCGTTTGGAGTTGGGTGCGGTGTCCTAGGAATAGTTACCCCGGAAGAATCTACCTCGAGAGACGGACTATGATACAATTTGTGCTAGGCAGCGAACAAGCGGCAAGACTTACAATCCGCCTAGGACATCGCCTCACATTTTCCGTTGACTAAGAGAAGTCGTAGTAGTGAATGCTCAAGACAATGCTAAGCTACGGACTAGGACAGGAAATACACTTAAATTGCGTCTCAAAACTACACTAAGCAGAAACTAAGGTACACCGCTTTACAGGCAAGGAGATAGATTGACTGAAACACCGCAATAAAAACGCAGGCCGGCAGATGAAAGTAACCAACTTGCATGGTGTCCGTACGAGGTCGCGCTTAGGGGTCAGCGGTTAGCTGGGGCCCTCACGGTGGTTTAGTGTAGGATATGACCGTAGGCGTGCAGCGCTTCCGTCCCAAGAAAGTTCTTCATGGGCTCCCAGGTCGGTTTCTCGGAGTGCGTCCATTTGACGAGTACTTGGTTGCCTCTTCCTCGTTTCCTAGTCCCTAGAATCTTCTCGAACTCCCATTCGGTTTCTTCTTCCGTCGGCGCTCGGGATTGGATGCCATCGTCCGTCAGCTCGATAAGGGTATCTTCAGGTGTTAAGGGTGGTCCGGCTGCTCCGCCTCGCCTTAGAGAGGAACTTTTCCTAACTGGGTAGTTATCCTGTGGGTCTTCAGTTGCATGGTCTTTGCGCCCGTGCGTCGCGCAGGTGTCCCAAGTGAATTGTACCTGGAAAGTCGTCATCCCGCCCACCGTCACGCGTTTGAGAACCGCATTCCCAAGCGGCCATTCCTCGAACACCGTCTTACGGTCAATAGATTTTCGAGAGGGCGGCAAGCCGAGGACACCGTGCCGGTCGAAACGCTTCCGACCTGAGGCTGATGTTCGGACTCGTTGTGAGCAGGAGGCGGCGTCCAAGTGAAGATGCTGTTGGATGGCTGATCCGAGTATAGTGGACCTGGCAAGAGAGCTCGCTTTACGGCGCTTGGAGGGTGGCTGGCAAGTGTCGTCGCCTTCCTCGTCCTCCGCCCTCGCACTGTCGTCCCGACGAGAGGCTAGACGGCGTCGAAGGCTCCAACCTGACTTCGGCTCGGCCTCGGATGGATGTCTATTCGATTTCGGACGCTTGGACGAAGGGGGTCGTACGTTATTTTCCTCATCATCTCCCGTGCGACCATCATGAGATGGAGCGAAGTGCTTATCACCGCGAGCATCACGATCACTACTTCGATCGGAATCTTGTATCACTTCGTCGCCCTCCTCATCGAGGCGGGTCTCGCTCAAATCGCGAGGCTGATGGATACGCGTTCTACGACGCTTGTGACCATGCGACGGTACGATGTTACCACCGTTCTCATCATGATCATCGTTAATGGTGGGAGGGTGGTTGTCGGTCCTAACATCGGCGCGGCCAGAACCCCGCGATCGGAGTTTGTGTGGACTGGTCCTCGTGATCCCCGTCTGGGCAGGAGTGACAACTGAGCAACGTTCTCGGACCGGTGGCCGCGCGCCGTCTTCCTGATCATGTTCTCCTTCGGCCAAAGACGGTTTTGTCTTGTCCTTTCCCCGCGCGCGCCAACGTCGTTGAAGGTGCTGGATTGCCGCGATCGTATTGGGATGTAGGCCGCTCAAGGCGTGGCTCTTATCGTCCGACAGCGTCGGCGTGCTTGCCTGACTCTCTTGTGCTTGTAGGAGCACATTAGGGCCCACCTTATTCTGCTCTCTGTTATCCGAAACTGGAGGATGACGGTGTTCTAGGTCGCTCGTCTGATTGCTATCGCCCTGGTGATGGCGCTGGGAGAGGTAGCGGCTATCGGGCCTCTGCTGTGTTTCGCCCACATGGTTGGAGGCGATGCTGACTGGACTCTGGGGCCGACGGACCGAGTCAAAGACAGGCTCTGGGTAATCGGGAACTGCAGCCTTACATACGCTCTCCTTGGCGCGTTCAGCTAGCTTCCGGCGTCCCAGCGCCGCAAGTGAAAATGGGTACCTCTTGTCCCACGCGGCGTGGTCGGTGGGGTCAGGGCGCATTGCACTGTCTCGATCAGAATTCTTTCCACCTGACTGCGTAGAGGGCCGAGAATCGTGTTGCGACCCATGGCCATGCGGTCTGGCCTTGTCTTCAAGAGAAGCGCCAGCCGTCTTCGGAACGGTAGTGTCACATACAGAGCCCTTAGGAGCGGGTGCCTGCCCTGGCTTACGCGCGACACTGCCCGCCAGACCCGGTAGGTCCAACTTCGTCCGTAGAGCTCCGGGTGAGGCAGACAACGGCTCCGGCCGCTGTTGGGTTGATGTAGATTTATCGTCGGGGTTGCTTCCACCGGTGACCGAAGGCTTTTTCGTATCGTTGTCGCTATTGGTACCAGGAGTGGTGTTGATACCCTTTCCTACTTAGGCGTGTCAGCATCACGGTCCACCCAGGGGCCAGAAACTTAGGCACATACCTACACCGGCAACACTGCCGGGTTCGGCCTGTTGGCGGGATTGGCCATCGTTGAGATCGTCGTCATCAGACTCTTCATCGCTGGATATCTCGACTACTTCGTCCTGTCGTGGGCTGCCTGGTTCTTGCAGCAGAGTTAAAGGGGCTCCAGAGACAGTAGTGGAGGTGCCCCCATTCCAAGCCGAAAGACTACGGTTTATAAGCTTAGGGTTCGCCGCCGGAAGGGGAGTGTAAAAGATCTGGCGGTCAAGGCGGACTGTTGCCATCGTGCTAGTGGTAGTACAGCGCTATTAAATTGCAGAAAATACTAAAGACCATGGGAAGAAAGATTCTGGGGAGCGTTTGGCGTACAGGCTAACCATCTTTATACTCCTGGATAGGGTGAAAATCGAGCGAAATATATCAGCACTGAGCGGGACAGGTGGGCGCGACCGCAGCATAAACAAGGAGCTGATCCTCCCCTTTGACTCCCCTACCCGCTTCGCCAATCCCAACCGCTGACGAAGAACGTGCTCGGTCGAAAAATGCCTCGTCGTATTTGGCTTGGGACACGAGATGGGTTCACAAATTCTTCGCACCTCTGCCAATCATATAACTGCCGAGACAGAAAGGGGACCGGGGGGGGGAAGGTGGTCTTTATAGGACGTCGTGTCGCGACGAATCACGACCCTAACTCGCTACCGCGTGATCTACGGCGTCCCCGGAGGTTGCCCAGGCCGGCTTAGCCGTTACAACTCGGGCGCGTTGTCTCCCTTCCTTGCAATGCCTTCCTACGCCCTTCTGCATGAGCTTGCCGCTAAGATTGCCCTTCCCCGCCTCATTCCCGATACCACCAGCAGCAAAGCGACATTTTACCAAGCTATCTCATATAGCCGTCGTCTCCACCTACAGCTCCTTCCTAGGTCCGTATCTACCTCGCCGTCGCTTAAGCAAAAGTAGAATCACCGTCACGCCAAGGGTCGAGACCTTTCGTCAGCGCCTCAGCTTCCTGCAAGGCGACTCGCAAGCCACTAGCAGCGCCAAAGAGACCACGTCATCTTGGAGGCTGCCTTGCTCCCCGGCCTGTTTCGCTGTCCTTGCTGCGCCGACCACTCTCCTTTTCCTCTCCGGAACTCGTCCCAATTGGACCACCTCGCCAAGGCCCCGTTGTTGTTGGCTCGATTTTGCTGTCCCCGTCCCCTGCAGTTTGGATTACTGCGCGTGGATCAGAAACAGAGAGCAGACGAATCAGAACGCTAGCTAGCCTCTCTCGTGACCAGTCTCCTGCATGCCCTGCCGCAGCTGCACTGACAATCGGCCCGACCACGGTCAACAAGGCATCCATCCTGCGCGAAGGTATCTCGGAGGAGTTATGCTAGGGAGGACGCCTCCTGGTGTCTCCGCATTAACGCTATCGACACCTGCGGCATTTTTGTGACTGGCCAGGACAGGTAGGCCTTATAATTGCGCCCAGAATCCACTAGGCAGACATGAAGTCGGCCTTACGGGCGAAGGGAGGGAACGAACATGGCAAGCGGAGTAGGGAGGCGAAGGAGAGCCAAGGTCAAACATGGGAACCTCTTCGTGGTGTCGTGTTGTGTAGGAAAGTCAGACGGATCGTAATCACTTAGCGTAGACGAAGCTCGGAGTCGAGTCAAAGTTGTGATTAAAATGAATGGGCGGGAAGGTTAGGAGGTCTCCAACAGCGAGTAGCAAGAGCAAGGCTTAGAGACGAGCTGTAACAAGCATGTGCGCTACGAAGCGACGCACAGTTCGAAGACGATAGAACAGGCAAGACCGCGAGGTCGGGAGTGCATCAAATTTGGCGAAATGAGCAGAGCGCGGCCGATATGGCTGGCGCAGTGAAGAGGTAGGGAACGAGCAATGATGGAGAAGTCGAGAGTACAAGAGAGGGACGTCGGAGACAAGGGCTCTATTTATGCTACAACGTGCCAGCGTAGGGTGGAGCGGCGCAGTCTGGCGCGGCGCCATGCCGGATCGGGACAGCCGCTAAACCCTACGGGTGCAGCAGCGTGTCCGCGATTACTATTTATACTTTTATAATATTATAGTAAGATTATATTTAATAAAGCATTTAAGAACTTTATATATAATATAGTTATATTTTTTAAAGCTATTAGTATAAATAAAGAAATCGTTAATATAAATTAAAAGTTTAATATTAATTATATCTTTAAAAATATAATTTATTATATTTTAAAATGTTATAAAGGTATTTATTAAGCTAAAAGGTATAATTATAAATTTAAATAAACTATATTTATATTTAAATATTATAAGCTATTTATAGCTTTCCTTTATATAAAGCAGGTTAAATCCTATTTTTATATTAATTTTAAAATATTATTTTATTATATTTATCTTTATTTATAATTTAATAATAAAAGGTATAGGGTACCAAATAGGTTTAATAATTTTATTAATACCTTTATAATTTATTATTAGTTATAAAGGATTATTAGGATCCTTTTTATTAATAAATATTAATAGAGAATTATAAGAAAAAGTAAATTATTAAATTTAACTAATTTTAAGCATTTTATTTAACTATAGTTTTAATATTTTTAATTTTTAAGCTGTTATAATATATAATGGACCTTAGGGTAATTTAACACCCTTTTAAAGTTTAATAGTATAATTTAAAGTTAATAATTAAGGAATTATTAAACTACTTATTTATTTATAATAGGGAAAAATTTATAAAACTTCTTTAATATTATAGTTAAAGCCTTATTTATTATTTCTTAAATAGTAATAACTTTTAAATAAATATAATTCTTTTAATAATAATTTAATAAAAAGGTAATCTATTTATTAATATTAAAGAAATAAATTAATTTATAACGCTTAAGCTATTATAATAATAATATAATATTATAATTAATATTTAAATTAATAAATTTAAAGGAAAGCTTAATATAATAATTATTTTAATATTTTAATATTATCTCTTTAATATAATATTAACCGTTATTACTTTTATTAAGCTAATTACTATTAAAACTAAATAGTAATTATATTATTGCCCGCTTAATAAAAGGTAACTTTTATATTTTTACTAATTTATAAAATATTATTAAAACTATACTGCCTATATTTAATAAAACTTTAATTAAGTATTCTTTATTATTAAAGATAATAGTTATATTAATAATTGGTTAATTATTTATTTTAAGCTTAAAATAATATTATTTCTCTTTAACTTTATATATATCGTTATTAATATTAAGGGTATTTTTCTTTTTAAAAGTAAATATATAAACATTTATATTTAGTTAATTCCTAATAAATGCTTTATAAAAGCTATTTAAAAATTTAATTTAAATAAAAACTCCTATATAAATAATGCTTTAAAAGCTAAAGTAGTTTTTAAAATTATATTAATTTTAACCTTTTTATTTTAATTAAAAGCTAATTCCTTATTTAATTTACATTTTATCAATAAGGTCTTTTTTAACATAGGGGGTAACTTTTTTTTATTAATATCCTTCTTTATAAAATAGGTTAATATATAATAATTATTTTAATTATAACGTTAATAAATAATTTTATTTACTTTATATTTATTAATATCTACTTATTTAATACCTTTTAATACTATAATTATATTAGTTTAACATTTATCTTTCTTTTTTAATTTAAGGGTTAATAATATTTTAATTATTATTCCTATATTTTTAAGCTTATTTCCTCCTTTTAAAGATTAACCTTAATTAAAAGTAGAATAGGTTCCTTTATCTTATTAACCTAATTTTAAAAGCTTTAAGGTTAAAATAGGCCTACCTTTTCCTAAATTAAATAAACTAGGATTAATTAATATATTTTTATAAATCTAACCCACTTTTATAATAATAATAATAATAAACTCCTTATTAATATTAAAAATATTACTCTTTTATAAATATATTAGCTTAATAATTTTATTTAATAAGATATAGGTAATATAATTTTAAAATATTATTTTAAACTATTCTATTACTTTATTAAAGTTTAACAATTTAGTTAAATATTAAGTAATATCTCCTTAATATTTAAGGTTATATATTTTTTTAAAGTTGTAATATTTTTTAATAGGGTCCTTAAATTAATTATATAAAGTAAAGAAGTATAATATCTATTAATTAATAAGTTTTATCTTTTTAATAAAATTTATATATTATTAATATTAAAGTTAAACTTTCTTTATAAGTAATAAATTAGTTTAATTAATTTTTTAAAAATCCTAAAAGAAGCTATTAATATATATTTTAATATAGGATTTTACTTTAAACTATTATAATTTAAACTTAATAAAGTTCTTTTTATTATAAGTTATTAATTTTATTAAATATATAAAATTAATAAATATTAAAGCTAGATAAATAAGTTTTTTTAACGCTTATAGGAATTAATTTTCGTTTAGGTTTATATTATTAGGGAAAAGATTAAGCAAAAGTTAAAATCTATAAGGATTTTAAAGGCCTTTAAATAATAAAAGGCTTTATAAAGGTTTTAAACTTTAAAGGTTATTATTAAAGTTATTTAAATTAAAGCTATAAGAATATTTAGGATTATTTATAATTTAATATAGAAGTTATTTATTACTTCTATTTCCTCCGGATATAAAAGGTCCAACTTATATAAAGTTAAACTACATTTAAATACTATTAATAATATATTATATTTATACTTATTAAAGGGATTAACTTAATAATAGGTTTTATATATAGGCCTTTAAACTTATATATTATAAATATAAATAAAAGGATTAAAGGAATAAAGAAGTATTTAAGCTAATATTTATATAATAATTATAAATTAAGCAAAAGGTTACTCTTTTATTTATACTTTTTAATATAATATATATATTAAGCTTATTATTAAAAATGGAATTTTAAATTATATATTTATTAATAATTTTATAAATATATTTTTAAATATTTTTAAATTAATATTAAAAATATTTATTTAATTAAAATAAATTAATATAATTTTAAATAAAAAGGTTATTAATTTATTCCTTCTTTTAATTAGTTTAATTAATAATTTAATTTTATAATGCCTTTTAAATAATTAGTTTATATTTTAAAGTTATAAAGGCGTTATAATTCTAAAGGGCTATATATTATAATTAAATAACCACTTTTTCTTTCCGTTTATTATTTTAAATATACTTAATAATAATACTTTAAACTTATTAGGAAAAGGAAATATTAACTTTAATTATTTATTTTTAAAACGTTAAAACTTATTTAATAATAGTAATAATTTAAAGTTAATAAAAGCTATAAACAATTAAATAATAATTATAAATAATATAATATTATTTCTTTAATTTTATTATATTTTAATAATATTTAATAATAATATTATTATAAAAGGTTATAATAATTTAATATAATATAAATAGTTATTTATATATTTATATTATTTATTATAAAGGATTATATATAAAGATTAAAAATATAATTAAATTAGCTAAAGCTTTATTTATTATAATTATATTAAAATTAAGCAGGTTATATAATATTAGATTTATAATTCCTTAAGGATTTTTAAAAGTTAAGGAAGCTAAATTAAAGTTAATAAAGTTAATAAAATCTAATTTAATTAATAGAATAGGGGTATTAATTTTAAAAATAAAAGGCTAATTAAATTATTAAATACCTTTATAAAAATTAAGTTAAAACTATTAAGATTAAATATCTTCTTTAAAAGTAATATCTTTAATTAATATTATACCTATTAAAATTAATAAGTTTTATTTAAATATTAAAAGTATTATTAATTATAAAGTATTTATTAGTTTAAAGTTAGTTAATTTATTAATTAAGTAAGGGTTAAAGTAAAACTATTATTAATTATAAATTAATTAAATTTATTAAAAAGGGGATTAAGGTAATAATTATAAAAAGGATTTATTAATACTTAATATAAAGGGATTTAATAATTATAAAGCTTTAATTAATAAAATTATTATAATAATATATAAATAAAATATAATAGGTTATATATATTATTAATAGTTAGGAATAATATTTATTAAAAGATATAAATTACTTTTATAATATTATTAAAGGTATAATAGGAATTAAAGTAATTAAATTATTAATTTAATATTATAATAATAATTATATAAAGAGTTAATTATTTATAATAAAGGTAATAAAACTAGGCTTAAAACTAAGGATTTTAATTATAATAATTAATTAGGGCTATATTAATCCTTAATTAATTAACTCCTTTTTAGCTATTAATAGCTTAAAATAACTTTATATATAAATAATCTGCTAGCTTAGACCGCCTAGGTCTTTAAGGTCTATTTCAAAAAGCGAAGTTTATATAACCTCACTTTCCAATATCACCCAATATTGCCTGCATGTCTTGGAAGGTTATGAACAGCCTGCAATGGTCCTTCGTATGGCCGAGGTGCAAGGCGAACTGCATTCTTCAACCGGCTCAGAGGTTACACGTGTAACAGTTACTAAGCCATTTGCGCGCTTCTAACCCCTCCGTCCGCTTTTTTCTCTATGAAAATTAGACGAGACAACTGCAAGAGCGTAACTCAGTAACCATAGGAGAGTCACGGTAAGTGGCTGATCAGGGAGTGCCTCACACGTACGCACGCATGCGCGATGCCGACATGACTAACGAATGCCTTTTTTTTCTTGATTATGTACGGACAGGAGCTTGTGGCATGGCTCAACAGTCTTCTACAGCTCGATATGACCAAAGTCGAGCAGTGTGGCACTGGGTAAGTGATTAATCCATGGTGACCTGCACTATAGCCAACCAAAAAAGGTACACAAAAAACCACCATCGCGAACCTTTGCATAATTTCTTTTCGCTACCCCTCCCCCACCACAATAGCCTCGCAGGCACACAGGCACACGAGTATTTCGTGTCACCAACTAAGTACCAAGTATGTATCCAAGGCTGCGTACTCGTACCAACTCGCTTCTGAACAGTCGACATAATTCACCACTCATCATAGTACGTAGCTCGGCTGTTAAAACAAAGCTAGCAAGCTTTAGCCGCCGCCAGACACACATAGGCGAATTCACCGCCTCATCAAACTAGGGCTTATAGACAATATGCACCAATCACTCTTAGGACTGTAGGTCGGGTCCTAACCTGGGGTCTTTGGGGGATTTGGGGGGCGTTTAGATCTCGAAACCAAACACACCGCAGTGCTATGAATACAACCCTTTGTGTTTTTTTGTTATGGTTGGTTTATATTTGTTCATGGCAATCGACTACTAAACATTGAGCTTAAAAGATATCATATTATCCTGTATTATGGGGCGTAGGGAGGATGGTGCAACCAATGTCCAGTTGCTCTCGACCTTCGTGAGGTGTATGATAAAGGATCCTCAGTTAAGATGGATACATAATTTGGGGGCCACATTGGTGCTTCAGTTGCCCTTTCTCACAATGAATGCGCTGGCATTGGGGTCTCTAACATGAACTGGCCATTGTTTGGCCGCGTTTTAGCTACATCCCATTGCACAGCCAGATCCCAAATCAAGGTGCTTATTTAGCTTTTTATAAAATTTTTCAAACAACTGTTTCACTGTATAGCCATACAGAATTCCCTAGACTTCTTAAAATTATCATAGTCTCAACATGTTACATATGTATCAGCACCTCACACTACGTCTTTTAATGCAGTAAGTCCTATTAAAATTAAATATAAAAGATTTTCACTTGCAACGGTAAAGAATAAACTGTTAAGTGATAATAAATTTCAAGGTTTTTACTTATTCGATGCTCTGCCCTGATGTGTAATACAAGCACTCTGCTCCGGGCACAACCAACTACCCCTATTATACCCAATTAAGGCCATTATTGAGTTACGGCTGCACAAGAATCTCAGAACTCTCGGTGTATGAGAAATTCTTAGTTCTCCAATGTCTTACGAGTCAAATAGTTATGGGCGGATATGGTCCGATACATGGCTGTGGGAGATATTGTCAATCATCCTCAGTGGTAGCTGCCTGGTCTTAACTACGGTGTTACTCAAGATCTACGACCAAAAGCCACCGCCACAATTCATCTACGGTATTACCCTGAATGCTCTCATTTCAATCTTAGCGACCTTCTCGAAATCATCTCTCCTTGTTGCCGTGGCAGGAGCTATGAGTCAGCTCAAGTGGCGGTGGTTCCTGGACCAGAAAGGGCGGAGCATGCTTGATACGCAGCTCTTCGAAGACGCAAGTCGTGGTCCCTGGGGCTCCGCCATACTACTAACTACTCCTCATAGTTGGTCCTTGGTTTCTATAGGAGCCCTAGTTTCTATTTTAGCTCTGGCCTTCGATCCATTTTCACAGCAACTTCTCAGCTACCCAAATCGAGGAGTTATCGTGACGGACCCTGCCGCTCAGGCATCGAATATCTCTCAAGCTAGAGCTTTTGTGGCGAATGATTGGGGCCACACGGCTTCCGACGTCGTCGGTCGTACTACGGCTTCGTTATATCTTCCAGATGGGGCTGAAGGCTTCGCAGCCGCTCAGTGTCCAACTGGGAATTGCACTTGGGACGAATTCGAGAGTCTGGCGTTATGCACCACTTGTCAAGACAGAAAAAAAGAAATCAGCTTATCTGATCCGTCTTTGTTCTGGAATGCTTCCGTTGGAGATCAAGTACTGGAATTCCCCTCTAACTACACCGTCGACAAGAGTTGTTTTCTTCAGTTCCCGGAAAATTTTCCCTGCGATTTTCTCCCTCGAATCTTTTCCATCAGGGGAAAAGTTCAAAGCCCCCTAGGTTCTTATACGTTTCCTTCGGAGCTGGATTACCAAAAGCACCTATTTGAAACCTCCATGCCCCCGGACCAGGTTTACTTCGGTGGTAATATATCCTTTCGCAGCAGCATAGTTCAGGGCAACACTAAACCGAATTTAACTGAGTGGAAGCTCCGCCATTTACCCCTCCTAACATTTTGTCACATCCGGCTTGATAAAGAAAGTAACAACGGCTCAGAGAAACCCTACATTGGAGAAGCGACCACCTGTAACTTAACTCCATGTGTCAAGAGATATGACTTTTCGATTTCGAACGGCACCCCGAACATAAAGATAGTTGGCGATCGATATGGGTCGTGGTACTTTAATACGACGGGCCTAGTGCTCACGAATGGGGAGCTACGACAAGAGAATGACGATAGAGCCTTTAACGAAACACTTTATCTATCCTGGGATGACATGGTTGGAGAAAATGGGCGGATTTCCACATTACATAACACGACCAGGCCTCCCATGTCATTTATGATCAGTGATAAAGACTTGTTTCCATTCCGAGAGGTGCAGAACGTATTCCAGGGAAGGCTCCGCGCCAAGGAGATTTTCGCAGATGACAAGCGTAACCGTATTTCGAATAACAGCGGTATCCATTTCAAGCAAGAATTCTTCCTCAGCTCCGACTCGTATGCAGACCCAGATCCGATGGCAGCAGCATTTGGAGGCTCAGACCCGTTAGCATCCACAGGCCAGAACTCCTTGGCGCCTCTATCCGTTAGTTTACAGCAAATTGCCGACAACGGAGGGTTATCATGGTTCATGCCTAGATTGGCAGCTGAACTGAGCAAATATTTTCGGGAGGAAGACGGAATTCCTGTCATAGGACGATCCTACACTACTGTCACAATTGTCGAAGTTCGATGGCCCTGGCTATCGTTGCCGGTGGTTACTTTGGTCTCCGCGGCGGCATTTCTCATGTTAACCATGTGGACTTGTCGTGGCGCTGACCAGGTGCTATGGAAAACATCAACCTTACCTTGGATTTATCATGGCTTCGAGGCCCACAATATCGAAGTTATCAAAGCGACTGCGGACAGACTTGATAGTGTCAGTGGCATGGAAAATTTTGCAAAGACTCTCCGTGCGAGGCTACAAAAAGATCCGGTTGACGGGCAACTGAAGTTGAAAATGATGCGTTAAAACTAGTGATTCTCCTGATCGCTGATAATAAAGGAGGAAAAAGAAAACACGTTGGAGGCGGAGGGTATCGAGCGATCATTATCAATATATAGAGCATATTTGATGCGCGGAATGGTACAGGGAGTTATGTAATATACTGTATTACAGGCATCGAAGAAGCAAATTTGGGTTACAACAGTCAGTGAGGCTTGGATTTCTCTGCTAAAGGACAGCTTCGTGTAAGAGGAGACAGGAGAGTTACGATAAATATACAGATGGTGACCCCATACGAGCCTTGCCTTGTACGTGACACTCCAGCCGTGACAAAGAATATGGGTTTTAAATCTTAAATTTTTAGATAGTCGGGCCCTAAACCTCCTCTAAATACAACAAACGAGGCCATAACTCATATTGCAGTTGTTCACAACATTGTTGAACATGTTGATCCCTCAATCATCCCTATCCGCGTGTTGAATGTGTCAAAAAATCCGACCGAGTAGGGGTCTACAGCCTATATCCAGCAAGTGCGCCACTCTTTAGCAATATTTGTAGACCGACTTGATAGACTTGCCCCCCCTATTCATACAGGCATGGTCAACCGTGCGGGGCTCGGATTGGCCGGAGCAACCAGGTCCGGCGAACAGGCTGAAGGAACATGACGGTCCAGCCCAGTAAAGCGAGTACATGTCCTCCAACCCATTATTATCGTGGAACTCGATGCATCCACTACCTGCATCTTGCCAAATGAAGTCGGGTGTTCCTCCACAGCTGCCCTGGAATGAGTAGGCCTTGAGTTGAGTGGCGCCAGCCTGTTGATAAAGGGCTGCGAGAAGGGTGATGGCGAGTTGAAACTTCATGTTGAAAGCTATCGGCGAGGTACTTGGAATCTTGGGCGTGAATTCTTCGTGGACCTGAGAGCCCGAGAAAAGTGAGAAAGAGACCTAGAGTCTAAAGAAGCTTCTGTAACAGTGCTTGTAGTTGCTTGTGGCGATGTCCTCTCTCACTTGAGGGTTGGAGCGTCCCTTCTTATATCTAGCGTTGAATACCCGCGTTTCTTTGGATGCAATACCCGTGTTTCTTTGGATGTGATACCCGCGTTGCTCCGGATGTGATACCCGCGTTGCTTTGGATGTGATACCCGCGTTGCTTTGGATGTAATACCCGTGTTGCTCCGGATGTAATACCCGTGTTGCTCCGGATGTAATACCCGCGTTGCTTTGGGTGCTATATTTGCTGTGATACTACATTTGGACTGACATACCGGTAGATAACTATTATTCCACTGTGGTCCACTACATTACACTACACTGATACCTTATTTTAGTGTATGTACGACAACAAGTTTGTGGATTGATGGATGATGTATTCCACTAATCAATTACACTCGTCCACCAGTGTAGAGCAGTGTAATTGGTGGCAACCCTGTATGCACGAGACTGCCGTGGTTACAAAATGCGCACACGCATGGCGGTGCTACGCGTCTGAGTTGGCGTATGGTATTTTGCTATTGGCAGGAATATGGACGCTCCGAATCGAAAGGAAATGAAAGGAAACGGAGAAGAGGGGAAAGAGGATCGAAGGACTGAGGTATGAAATATTTATCAAGAAGAGTTAATTTCAAGGTCAAGCAACGGATACCTAAAGCTTTTTATATCAAGTAACAAAGTGGATCCTAAAAGGAAGCCTCTAGTTAGGAGAGGTGGTAGGTCACGTATAACAAATGGAGGAATCAGAAATCGGCATACTCGGCATCGATACGGGCGGGTATTTCAGCAATAACACCATGACATCACTTCCTCTTCTGCTTTTCCCTTCTTCATTTATAGTCGTCCCGTCCCATCTCCTCTTAACAATAGGCCAGTACCATAGCTACAGTCCGTCGTTTAGAAGTGCTTGAGATATAAGCAAAAACCCTGCCTCACGACCACCCCCCGTCACGACCAGGGCCCTAGGCACCCTAAAACGCGCTTTGACTCACAACTACCTAATTAAACACTATTTAATAATACGATTGCATTTAGGTCTTACAATAACTTTTTACCCTTATTCTATTTAAAATTTATTCCTTTTTATTATTATATTTTTTAATTTAAAAAATTATTATATTATAATTATTATTTATATAATTTAACTTAAAACTTTAATTTAAATAATAATATATATTTAAAGCATTAATAAATTATATTTATATTATTAACTTTAAAATATTCCTATTAAAAAATAAATTTATATTAACCTTTAAGCTTTATTAACTTATTATAAATATTAATTAATAAATTAAATAATAAGATAGGTTAAATTAAACTTTATACCTTTACTTTTTAAATTTAAACTTATAATTAAATATATATTAATTATTTTAAATAATTATATAAAAATATAATAAAGTTAAATATATTAAAAAAAGTATAAAAAATAGTTAAAATATATTTAAAAGATTAATAAATATTATTATTTTTAAAATATATAATGTTATAATTAAGGTTTAAGGTATAGCTATATTAATATTATAAATAAAGATTTTAAGTTAAGAAAGAAAGAAAGGAAAAAGGAAATTAAAATATATATATATATAAAGATATATATAGGTTAATAGTTATTATAAATTATATAGCCTTATTGGTATATATTTTATATATCTTTATAATATCCTTTTATAATATATATAATGTTTTAATATAATATATATTTAATATATTTATTATATTTCCCTTTATTAAAATTAAAATACAGGTATAAATTAGGTTAAAAAATTATTTATAACATTTAGTTTTAATTATAATATTATTTTATATAATAATATTATTATTAAAGTAATTAATAGTAAATTTATTAATTACTATAACTTTTATTTATTTATTTAATTATTTAAGCAGTTTTAATATATTAAACTATTTTTTATAAAACTTTTATATTTTAATTAATAAATTTTTAAAATCTTTTATTAAGTATTAAGTATTATTAAGGTTATAACCTTTTTAAGTAACCTAATATTATAGCGTTTTATTATACTTTATTATTTATAATTTAAATAGTTGTTTAACTTTTTATTTTAATTTTTTTTTAATATTTTTTAGTTTTAATAATAGTTAAGTTTATTAAAGTAATAGGTTTTTATTTGCTTTATATAATTAATTTATATAAAAAAGGTTAATTATTTTTATTAACTTTAAAAAGTTTAATATATAGTTATATTCTTTTTTTTTAAATATTTTAAAGGGTTTAACCTATTAGGAGTTTAATTAAATAGTTAAGCTATTAATTATAAAGCCCTTTTTCTTTAAAAAGACTTTATTTTTTATATAAAAGTTTATTAAGCGTTGCTTTTTATTTATTTATATTTTTTATTTCTTTTATATAACTTTTATTGCTTTATAAATTACCTTTTATACTTTATAAGTTTATTATATTAATTATTAGGTTAGCTTTTTAAATGCTATTTTTTTAATAATATTTAATAAAGGTAATAATAAAGGGTTTTTTATATTAATTCCTATTAAAACTTTTAATAATATTATATTAATAATTAAATATTAAAAGGTATTATATATAAAATTTAATATAAATAAATAAAGGCTTTAATTATTTTAATATTTATTAATATAAAAGTATAACTATTAATTTAACTTTTAATTTATAAACTTTATAACTCCTTATATTTAAAGGTAAAGGGTATTCCTATATTAATATTTAATATAGGTTAACTTATTAATCTTTATTAAAAAGTATAATATAAAGGGTTTTATATTATTTAAAATCTATACCTTTAAAAAACTTAAGAAACGGTAGGTATATTTATAATATTAATATATTATATTATTTATTATATTATTCTTCTTTTTAAGTATTATAATTAATAAGCGGTTAAATTTATTAATAAATACCTATATATAATTATAGCTATATTTATTTAAAGGTATATCCTTTTTATTAATTATAATATAGCATTAAATAGCTATAGGGATTAATAATAGTGATAAAGAAGTTAAGGGGTTAAAAGAAGATATATTAAAAAGGAAGAGAGCTTATAGCTTAATGTAGGTAAAGCTTATATATAGCCCTAACCTTTAGGTGTATGCCATGTATAGCAGTATATATAACAATGTATGCTATATAGCAATATAGTAATATATGCTGCTTATAGTAATACATATAGGCTAACTCCTATTAGGTCCTATTAAAATGCTAGGGGCTTAAAAAAATCTACTATTTTTAATAAATTTAATATTAAATATATCTTTTAATTATTTAAACTTTATACTCCTCTTTAAGTTCCTTCCTTTTATATCTTTATTAATTACCTTTACTTTATTAATTTTATCTTTTCCGTTTTAACCTTTATTACCTTTTATTATATTGCTTTTTATTTCTTCCAATTTAATAGTTTTACTTTTATAAAGGCGTCCTTTCTTTTTTAGCTTTATTAAAGATAGGTAAAGGCTATACTTAATTTAATAATCTTTAATAAGGTCCTTTATATTTTTAAAGTCCTTTTCTTTATATTATATATTATATTTATAGCTTTAACCTTATTATTTAATTAAATATTTAAACCTATTTCGTTTATAGTTAAGCTAATGCTATATTAATCTTTTTACTTTATATATTTTACTTTAATTATTAATCTTTACTAACCTTAAGGGAGGGGTAATATACTTAAATAGGTTATTTTAGCTTTTATATAGTTAGAAATAGGTAATAGATATTATTGGGTAGATATAATAGTTTAAAGGAAAGTTAAGTTTATAGGTTAAATTTCCGATTTATTTAAAAATTTTCTATAAACCAGCCTTTTATTAAAAGTACTTATATAAAAGGTTACTTAATAGGTAATAACTATTATATAATTAAAGTATTACCTTTTTCCTAACTTTAAATTAAAGCTAGTAATATATATTATTAAAATACTACTTAACTTAAATTATTATAAAGTTTATAATTAACTTAATATTTTATTAAAAATATTTATAAAGGGTAAGTATATCCTTTAATATAAAGTCCCTTATTTATTTAATAATTATATTAAAAGGTTTTAATAATTTAAATTTAAATAGTTACTTATATAAAGTAAACTATATAACTTAAAAATATATAAAATTAAAGTTTTATTATAAAATAAATAAAAGATTTATTTAATTAAAATTAAGTTAAATAAAGTTATAATATTAAATTATAAGCTTTATTATTTAATTTTTCCTTTTTAAAATTTTATCCACTTATAAATAATATATTATTATTATTAATAGCTTAATATTTAACAATTTTTATATTTTACACTATAGGTTAAAAGTAAACTTATAATCTTTATTAAAAATAATACCCTTAAGGATCCCTTAATTGTTTAATAATAGCATTTTTATAATAATACTTATTTAATCCACTGTTATATATTTTATATTATTAAGGATAAACATTATCTATTTAAATAAATAATATATAATAAGGAATAAATAGTTATAAAACTTATAATACTCTTTCTTTATTAATTATTAAAGTATTCCTTTAAATTGTATTAAGGGTAAGGTTAAAATAAAGTTCATTATAATTATTTATATTAGGAATACATTTTTAAAGTATATAGGGCAAAGACTTTTTATAAGCTTTTACTTATTTATTTTATTAAAGTTATAGTTAAAGCAACATTTAATATACTTTTTAATTAATTAAAACTTCTTATAAATAAAATAAAGCTTAAAGTTATATATTATATAATTTAAATTAATATAATACTTCTTATTATATATAATAGTTAATATTTATTTAACTATTATATAAGGTATATAAAATTATTTTACTTTATTATACTTATTATAAATTAAACCATCCTTAATTATAAATAAGTAGCCTACTTTTAAATAAACTATTATACCTTTATTATTATTATATAAACTCTTCTTTTATAACTCCTTAAAGATCTTCCTATATTATATATTAATTTTATAGCTAAATATAAAGTTATACCTTTATTTATTACTTATAATTACTTTATATATATACTTTATTATATCTTTATATATACGTTTAATTATATTTTATATTAAGTTAAGCATTATTAATTCCTTAAAATGTATTAACTTTTTATAATTATTATATTTATTTTATATAATTTATAAATAACTTAAAACATTTAAAATAAAATTCAACTTATTAAGGAAATAATATACTTAATACCTATTATAATTAAGGTTTAAAGTAACGCATCTCCCACTTGACCTGGCCACCCAATTGACCTGGCCACCCCCCTAGCCTATACAAATAACGTCGGTGCATTAATCACGTGAT